AATGGGGGGGGGGGCACCGGTAATACTCTGAAAATTTACCCGGCTACTGATTAGGAGGATTGTGCCAATTTAAGGGTGGTCCAGGCTTCTTCTTTCTCATCTTTTCCGCTTCCTTCTTTCCCTTTTCTTTTTTCTCATTTTTCTTTCTTGTTATTTTTTACATTACTGGAAGCGGGGGTGGGGGAAGTCCCCATGCTGCGCCTGTGCTGTGCAATCCGCCCTATACCGTACACTCTAATAAACAACGTCTCCTGTTCATCCAAGCGTGAACACAAACCACACACAAATGATACCAAATTATTTGGGATAAAAACACTCTTTCAATTTTATAAGATGTATGATAGTTTATAGTTCATAGATGATTTTTGAAATAATTAGCAATTTTCTAGGTGTAAACTTTTTTTCGACTCACACTGTACATACATGTACATTGTAGCTACTGCTTGATTTGATTGCAATAGGAATCCCTAATTGCACAAATCTGTTCATTCTGAATGTCTGGCTGACATACACAAGTGCAGTTGTTGATTAAGGGGCACAGACGGCTCATGCCCCCCTCCCCTCTCGCTTTAAAGCCCAATTGCAATACCCTACCTACATAACAAGAAGTGCCCCTTTAATTGTGTTCTGCTTTCCCCCTTTCATTTTTTAACCCCCCCCCCCTAAATGATATTAAGGGAAGTGATCTGCCACTGCACACGTCCATGTAGATGCTATTCCCTTCGCGTGAACAAATAAGAAACAAAATCATTTGATATATCCCTGATTTACAATGGTAGAGCTGCTTTCATTGTTGGAGTTGTCGTCTTGTAACTGGGAGGTCCCGGGTTCAATACCAATTTGATGCACTAGTGCCCTTTGGTAAAGCATTAATCCTCATAACCAAGTCCCTTGGAGAGGACCTAAAGCCATTGGTCTCCTGGTTGCTTAATACTTACAAGCATAGTGCATACACATTCTTTCTTAGCAGTCATCTAAAACAAACAAACAAACAAATATTCATATGTATCTACATCTTCATAAGATACAAAACATTGAAATACATTTATGATGATGATGCAGGAACAAAAATACACGGGGCTCGGACAAATTAGCCCTCAAAATACCCAAAAGAGCCCCCCCCCCCCCAAAAAAAAAAAAATTAGCATAGAGTTCAATGCAAAACAAATTAAAGAGTGTTATTTTCATGCACTCTACATGTCACCTCAGCTGTGAGCTGTCTAAACATACATGTACATGTAGTCTTGCTATAGACATCATCTATGACACCCCAGAACCCAGCTGTCTGAAAAGATGGTCCCTTATATTGTAGTTATTACATCATCTCAATCATGCATGATCTCAATCACCTCAAATGAGCCGTCTGAACAAAATGTCCCTCAGCACCTTTAATGATCATCACCTACATTATCCCATGTGTGAGCTGTGTAAACCCAATATGTTAACCATCACCTTCATCACCCCCGGATTGCACTGTCTGAACACACATTCCCTTGTAAGATAATCGCCACCTACACCATGCACCTCATAAATTATGTACCTTATATCTTAAAGGGGTCCGGTAACTTTGTCTCAGATTCTGAAACAAAATCCTGGATTTAGCTCATGCGGCAATGATAATTATAAACCTTTATGTCAGTCAGGAACCCCATGACTTTTACATGCCGATCACCTGTCTGATTATCAAGATATTTATGATTGGAATTACAAATTTTGAAAACCGTTTGCCAAACGGTTTTCATAACATCACAGTCTATTGGGGAAAATGAGTATGGTAAAACCAGTCACTCAAAGATTTTAAATTTTTGAGGCACTTCTTATCATTTTGAAGCACGATTTTTTAAGGGCTTCAACATTACACCATATCACAGACACTGATAACACGTACATGTAGGGCCGGGCATTTCAGATTTAACATTGTTAAACGATGCCTTTAAAGGTAATATAAGTTTTGGGAAAGTTTGAAATTGGATGGATAGGGATACTTTACAATTTTGATATATTTGGATGCCACTGTGGATGTATTATAAGCACTAGAAAATTTAGCCCCTAAAACACTTTTGCTTTCGAGAAAAATTTAATATAAAAATTTACAGATAATTTTGATAAATTTTCAAATAGCGCCTACGGCTGTACAATGGTAGCTGCGTTCATTTGTTCATTTGAACAAAATTCATAAACCCATACAAAAACTTTGTATACCTTTAATCATCACCTGTATCACCCATTTGTAAGCTGTCTATAAACACACCTTCCCTTGTATGTTAATCATCACCTACATCACCCCATATGTAAGCTGTCTGAACACAATATGTTAATTATCACCTTCAACACCTCATGTGTTAGCTGTCTAAACAGACTGTCCTCGGGAGGGTTTGCTAGCGGCTGTGCACACATTAGCATCAGCCCACCTCCTGTCTGAGATATAGACCAGCAGTTATGAGGGAGGTAAAGGGTTTCTTGCTACATCTACGAATCGCTGACCATGTTTAGATGCGGTCAAAATTATGGGATGTTTGTGCAATATGGTCAGAGATGGACAGTGAGAAAGGTCAGTTGAATAATTAAAATATTCTTGCAAGATTTCATCTTATTGTGTTTTTTTCATTCTTTCATTACTACTTGAAGAGAACTCTCATGGCAATGGATTTAATTTCATTATTCCTCTCTGCTTCATCTTGCCATACTTGTGGGATGTTTGCATCTGTTGATTTTGCAGGATTACATGATCATCTCTCTTGGGTCATTTTTGTCTTGTTTCTTTTTCCTGCTTGAAGTGAGCTCTTGTTATAGCCAATTGATATTTTGTATCTCGATTTTATACACTCTTTGTCCTCCCATATTGTTCAACATTAATGTCTCGCTTGTGTCTACAGGGCAAACACATGTTTAATAGATGTGTGTGTTTTTATTGTGAATTATTAATTAATTTGATCATAACCTTTAGAGTTTACTGAATTATGGATTAATTGGCTGACTCACACAGAGGCATGATAACATTCAACATGTGTGCATGTTTACACACTGTTCATGATGCATGGACTTTCTGTCTGGAATATCTGGCATTGTTGATTGATTACCGGCCTATATATCCATACTGTGTAAATGTCCTGTAGGCATAACTACATGGCTCGTTAAAAGAGCCATTAGCATTCATCATTTTCAAAACATATCTTACTGTACATACGTGTACAGTGTACATGGCTTAGAGGTGTCTTGGTCTAGCTAGTGGATACGTCACCCGATTTGTGGATCACATACATCGTCCCTATTTTCACGAAGTGACGGTAGTGAATGGAAATCGCATACAATTTTCGTGCGTATTTTCCTCACTACCGTCACTTCATGAAAACAGGAACGACATGTGCATATATGCATACATGTACTTGTAGATCATTTGTATATTTTACAAAAGGATGTAGTAATGTAATGGTTAGTAAGTAAGTAGTATTGGTTTACTGGCAAAATAAATGAAATAGCGGCCAATTGGTCGATTTGCAGAATTTTGTACATAGTAAAGATAGGAAGAGCACAGAAAATTATAATGTTAATATATTCACTGAACAGTAATGATAGTACCTCATAACAAAGGCTTAATAATAACATTGAATAAATTAATGCATGTACCTGTAGGTTCAGATAAAGTGAATTGCATAATCTGTGGCAAATACATATAAGGGACGATTAATATGATAATGGAATTACATTGTTCTTCAGACATATTCATGACATAATCATAATCATAACTATTGAAAGTACAGTCTAAAAACCCTTCATTTGTAATGCAGCTTCTATGTGTACTAGAGAAGAGGGTTAATTAGCAATTAACATCCAACATTGTTGATTTTTTTTTTTTGGTATCAATACTCTGTGTATTTTCTAAATGTACTTCACTGAAATCTAGCCTTCACAAATACCTCTGTAGGCATTATGTGGCAAATTTAAAGTAATTATAAAATAATCTTAATGAGACCTTATCATATTCAACTGCTAATGAAACAGGGTCAAACTCAAAGACAAATGATTAAAACAAATTAAAACAAATTAAATTAAGATAATTCACCCCCCCCCCCCCTCCAAAAAAAAAGAAGAAGAAAGAGAGATTGCAAGAATAAAGAGAATTAGAGTGTACATACATACATGTACAGTATATGCCTTAATTCAATACAGCGAATACAGTTTTAACAAACAAGCAACTATATATACTGTCTTATTCATATTTTGTGAAAGATAATAACTTCAACTAAACCTGACATTTCAAATTCAGAAATCTATGATTCTGAAATGTATAAAAATGAACCTTGCTGTTTGTTTTTTTTAAGTTCAGGATAATTTTATTCAATGTAGGAAGTACATAATCTACTGTATGTGCTGCCTTTTGAAACCATTAACACAATAGCACCCACTTGAAATGTTATAACGAGACTACTTGTACTTGTCCAATTGATATGTATGAAATCCACCTTTGCTTCATGCATGTATACAAGAATATAGAGATGTTCATTTCGAGGGTTTATTGACACAAAGAAGTAACTCCATATTTTGCCAAAATGAGTATTTGATATCAAAATGTTCAGAAAAATGTGGGCTTTCCAGGAAACACAAATACTTAACTCCACCCAATACCCCATTGAGGCCAATGGCTACTGAAACATATAGACTTAACTCCTTAAGGCCCAAGTGCTCAGTGACACATACACCACTTTTTCTCAAAATGGAGTTACGTCTTTGCGTCATGCACTGAACCCTCGACTTGTACTTGTCCAATTGATATGTAAGAAATTCACCTTTGCTTCATACATATGTATACAAGAATCTAGAGATGTTCATTTGTAGTATACCTTACCTTGTATAGATCATGTTTCCATTCATGTGTGGGTGTTAGTCATCCATCCGAGGTAACAATGATCCCCCCCCCCCCTCCCTCATCCATTTCACCCCTGTCTGTCTGCCCCCAGGAAACGAGAAATTAACCAACCTTTCTAGTCGCAGATCCTCACTAGGAAACACCAGTAGACACTCACTGCGTTCATGCACGCAGCCCCTGAAAGTCTTTGTTTTAAACATTCATACGCGCAACTCCTGGCACTTGTTGTTTTAAGCGTACAGCGGTCTTCTTTCAGTTTTGAAGAGCTTGTTTTCAAAGGTGCCATATTTTTCTTGGATTTGAAATTAATGTCTTTGTTGATGAATCCTCTGCCAAGTGTGGGGGCACTGTAGAATTGCTGCCTAGTTCTTCCTGTTTCTAATCTAAAGGCTGTTTGATTCATATTGGACAAGTTAGTCTGGGAAGATCTGCAGATTGGAACTGCTTTTACTTGTCTGAAGAATATTGAATGAACTTCGAAGAGCATTTTAAAACTTAATTTATGACAATGGAGCCTTCATTTAGTGAGTATCTGTGGTTATTATGACTTGCGTTGTTTACATGTTGTTGAAGTACATTTAGATACAGTGCATGTAAGGTTTCTCAGTGAATGCATTAAGCATAACTTGCCGCTGTGCACTATGTTATTGAATTTCACTTCAGAAAGAGGTCGTATTTATACAGCACGATGCTTATTTTATTCATCTGCCATCTTTAGAAACACATTGTTAAACACATTGTTGTTCTCTCAAGGGTTACATGTACATGTTGTAAGAGCTAAAGTTGAATCATGATTGCTGTTACAAGAGGTTCGAAGAAAATCATTTCAAGACTGTACTCTTACCCAAATACGATGAATTTTGTGTTAAAAATCATTTTACATGATTTTTTAAGGTTGATTATCAGACTGATTATGTAACCAAATATTTTGCAGGCTAAGTTGATTCATATATTTTACCTATAAGTACATACATGTATTAAAACTGTTAAACAGGTTTTCCCAAAATTTTCTGAAGTGTTAATTGCACAAACAATGTGTATGGTAAAGATTACACTAATTTTCAGTTACTCTCACAATTTATGTCTATATGTACATGTGTATCTCTCTATTCTCCCCCTTCTCACTCTATCTATCTTTCTTTCTCTCCCTTTCTTTAACTCTCTCATTATCTCACTCTATGGAACTATTTTCTTCCTCTCTTTTCCAATGTTTTTCTTCTTTTTTTTTCTCTCTCTCTTTCTCTCTCCCCTTTTCTCTTTCTCTCCCCTCTCCCTTTCCTTCTCTTGTTCTCTCTCCCCTTCTCTCTTTCTCTCCCCCTCTCTCTGTCTCTCTCCCCTTCTCTCTCAGTCTCTCTCCCCCTCTCTCTCTCTCCTCTCTCTCTCTCTCTCTCTCCCTCTCTTTCTTCCCCTCTCTCCCCCTTCTCTCTTTCTCTCACCTCCCCTTCTCTCTTTCTCTCCCCTCCCTCTCTCTTTCTCCCTCTTGCATGTTTTCAAAAACAAGTCAACTACCGTACACACATTTTTGTATAGGTTACTGAATCAACATGTATTTCATATCTATATTTGCCTTTTTCCTTCAGAGTTTCACACCATGGAGTTTGTAGACTTCATCCGCATCCCCAAGGTAGATGACGTTGTCCTTCATCGTCATGGTTACCAACCAGTCTCGGGTACACTCTGTCTCACGGGTCATCACATGATACTCTCATCTCGGCAAACCAACTCAGAAGAATTATGGGTAAATTATTATTAGTGTACTACTTTTTTGGGGTTGAAATGTCAAAATATTATATGCATGCACTATGAACCTGCTGAATGATTCCATTGTGACATACAGCACAAACTTTATGCCATATGTTTACATAATAATAATGATAATAATAAATTACATTTATAAAGCGCTTAATACAATATTTCTAAGCACTTAACTAAAGAAGGTACTGTACAATGTAAAGTAAACATACAGCAATAATGATACATAATTTTAATAATAACAATTACAGATAATTAGCAACCTACTTTAAACAAAACTTTCCTTGAACGACTCTATGAATGGGGAATGACGGATACTAATTACATGTGACTAAGTTTTGTTTATAATTAGTCAAAAGGAAAAAATATTTTAAATTTTTGCACTGCAGTGACAGATTCACTGACTAATCATCATGGTTATACAAAAAAATGTATTCATGTGCAAACTTCTTCATACCTGTTATGTTGTCTGCACATTTGTAATAGAACAACTTACAATATTTATACTTGTATGCATTTTTTTTGTTCATCATCTGTGCAGTAAAGCCCTCAAATAATCCTTGTAGTTTGTATTGCCTGTTTTCTCATTTTCTATACTAGAGATGTATGGTACTTAACAAGATGAGGTTTCTATTGAAGAGGATTTCTCTTTAGTTCTTTTAATTTATGATTTATTCTCTCTCTCTCTCTCTCTCTCTCTCTCTCTCCCTCTCTCTCTCTATGTATATATATATATATATATACCTCTCTCTTTTTCCCTCTCTCTTCTCCCTCTCTCTCTCTTGCTCTCCTTCTCTTTATCTCTTTTTTTCTCTCTCTCTCTCTTTCTCTTTCTCTCTCTTTCTCTCTCTCTCTCTCTCTCTCTTTCCATTAAGTTGTATATATTATATATCATATCTTCTCTTTTGTCCTTTGTTATTTATTCTATTAATTAAATTTTGCAAGAAAATGAGAACCAATAGCTTTTATCAGACTTTACTCTGACTTCCATCACACTGTATCATTTAATTTTGTTGTTGTTGCTGTATTGAGAATATAATGAAGACAGCGTTGTCTTCTCTTTTAACTCTTTCATGTGTTTGGTTGACTAATGTAACAAACACTGCACTGCTCTGTTTCACTTTTAGCACACAAACACAATGAACTTTGTTACTCTGACAGTCAGGGGTTTTGACCCTTGTCAAAATTAGTCTAAAATTAGTTGTAAAATAGTGAAAGTTCAGCATAGAAAATATTTTAATACTATTTTCATCTCTGAATATATTTTTCATTATTTCCATAAGAAAGTTTTAAAAAAAAGAAGTCTAGTTTTCTATGAAATATGATAAAAATATAAAGAAATAGCTAGATGATATATTTTTGCATGTGACAAACGACCAGGGAAGCGTTCTGAATGAAAACGAAAATTTACAGTACATGCAAATCATTGTGTTTAAATCCTGTGCATATTTTATCAATTGCAGCTCCAACACAACAATGTAGACAGCTTAGAGAAGAAGTTTGTGGGGAGCACCGGTCAGCTGACGGTCAAGTGCAAGGACTTTCGTATCATCAGACTGGACATCCATGGAATGGATGAATGTATTAAGGTCGCTGAGACCATTGAGTCTCTCTCTAGCTTAGGTGAGTGTTTCCTCCTTTAGTATCAGTAATAATAAATTTGTTGCCATTATGCATGTACATGTAGTTCCTTCAATTTAGTCAAATTCAAAGGGGCGTTCCATGAAACAATTAGTCGGGCGTTTTCACCGACTAATATCATTTTCACCGACAATTCTATTGTCACCGACTATTTTCCAGGCCTCTGATTGGTCAAATGTAGTCAGTGCTGACTAAAGTGTCGGTGAAAATGATATTAGTCGGTGAAGACCACCGACTTATTGTTTCATGAAACGCCCCCCCCCCCAATCTACCTGTAAAAATAGATCTTCCTTTGGTAATATAATAAGGTAGTTACATATTTCCTTTTCCCGCTTAATACTACGTTTCTAAGCATATTCCATTGTAATTATTATAACCTCGGTCATTGGATTCGATTTCTCGTCCGCACAAACATAAATAGTGCACATACTCCACTCCTTGGGGACTATTCTGGCCAAGCATGATTTTACTAGCATAACATCTGGGTAGAGGGTGGAAAATGTAGGTACACTGTAAATGTCTTGCCAAATGAAACTAGTAGTGATCATTGGATAGATATATCAAAAGCTTCAAGATTATCTTGTATGCACCAATCTGTTTGCATATTTATGCTCGTTAGGGGGCCGACAGCTTAAAGTCCTCTCTGAGCGACTCAGTAATAAGGATTAATGCCTTCCTTAAGGTCATTAGCACGTTGTCTTTGTTACGAACATGAAACCTCAGTGTTACAAGACCACTACTCCAACGCTGATTCCTTCTGACTTCCTGTAAATTCATCCAATAATCTTTGTTTGTTGTCTGTTTCTCCTTCACAGAACCAGTGACACTGACCTACCCATTCTTCTACAGAAGTACCTTTGATGAACTCGAGGATGGGTGGCATGCATTCTTACCAGAGAATGAGTTTGCAAGGCTCGCTAGTGATGACTGGAGAATCAGCTACGTTAACAAAAACTTCCAGGTATAGTGCTTTGATCTTTCTGTTTGTCTGTCTGTCTGTCTCTATGTCTGCCTCTGTCTTTGTCTCTTTCTTTGTCTCTGTCTGTCAGTCTCTCTTTCTTTCTTGTCTCTTTCTCTCTACTTTGAGTTTTTCTCTTTCTCTCTCCATTTTCTATCTCTTTCCTCCTGTGTGTGTGTGTGTCTCTCTCTGTTTCTCATTCTCTTTGTCTTTACTTTCTGTCTTTCTTCATGTATCTCTATAATTTATATTTTCTTATCTCTGTCTATCTCTCGTCCCCCTCAATCTTTTTCTCCTTTACAAAAAATGGTAATTTTACATGCACATACAAGTCAATGTACCTGTGCCTGTAATTTCGTCTTTTTGTCTGACTTATGTCCCTCAGGTTTGTCCAAGCTACCCTCCAGCAGTGATAGTGCCAAAGTCCATAGATGATGATACACTGGTTCAGTCCGCTGCATTCCGCTATGGAGGGAGGTTCCCTATACTCAGCTATATGCACACTGCACAAAAGGTAATAATGATATATCTTGTTTTCCCATGACATTGTAGCCTCATGAGTATTGATAGTGTTCTGCCTGAGGACCTTGCAATCATATTACCCTGGCTTTATTCAATTCAACTCAGAGTTTATTCAACACTCTTCATAAAAACATTGAAAATATACAAATACAGAATGGGATGATAAAAAAAAGAATAAGATAGTGATAAAAATTAGGATTGCAATTTATGAGACCATTTGGGATAGGCAGAAAGGAGGGATTCCTTATATGAAAGCCTATCCCTGAACACACACATACAAGGAAAAAGAAGAAGAAAAAGAAAGAAGAATATAAAAAAGGAGTAAAAAACACTTACAAGATAGTGTAACAAATTTTCTTTACAAAATTGTCAAAGTTGCCCATGCTACTGTGAGAAGATTGGTCTCCAAGTGTTCTTTATGAGCTTCCATAGAAAAGCAGGACATTAAGGACCATTCACAAATGGTTTTTATGTCTTCACTGCTATTGGCGATGGTTTCCTCTACTCTGCTATATCCTCACTGCACAACAGGTTGTGTCAATAAAGTGTTCTGTGTTTGCTGTGATGGGAACGGAATCATTCACAGATGACTTTGGCTGTTTAAGTAATTCTATGTCAGAAGTGAAAAATTAAATGAATTAATTACATATCAACAGAAAGCTTATAAGCCATAGATTACAACGATATCAATTATATGTTATTTTAGTGCCAGAGGAGTAACAGCTTTCTAAAACTCACAAAATCTAAACCTTTGAAAATCTGAAGTTGTCAATGTAACAGAAACTGATACAATCAGTAATAACTGACCTTCTTCCCGAGTCTTGTTACACATTTAAATTACCAAAAAAAAAATTGCATCTTTATCTTGCTCTAAATGTACACAAATGAAACAAACTTTATGTAAAATAATCTTGCTACCCTAAAATATCCTTCCTTTTTCTTATTTTGTGTGTGTAAGTGTGTGTGTGTGTGTGTTTGTGTTTTAAATGAACATCATGTACCTGCTCAGAGTACATATCTACAAAATACTTGTTACACAACATTACTCTAAATGCCCAAGTTGATTATTTTTGTATTTAACAGATAGCATCTCAGTCAAGTAAAAGTTGCAAGGTAATAAAATTCCTTTCACACTGTACTCCATAGAGTGCGAACTTTACAATTTCACATTGTAATACCAGGGGGGTGTTTCACAAAGACTAAGGTCGACTTAACTATGGCAGGCCATTCCTCCCACTGTTTGCTTTCACCTTTGGTCTCTCAAGGAACGTCACAAATCTACAGAAGTTACATCTTTTTAATAGTTCATTGTTGAAGAAAAAAGTTACTCACATTGTAAACTTAAGTTATATTTAAGACTTTGACTTATACTACAGTTTGTGGTTCATGTCCTTAAAAAGTCTTAAACCAGATGTAAAATTAGAGGGAAAAAACCTCAGAGAGTATATGATCTTTAGAATATTTTTTCTTCAATAATGAACGATCAAATTTTTCTAATTCTGTAGATTATGACCATGATTTGTATGTCCCTTGAGAAACCAATACCAGGAAAGGTTACGGGAACTAGTGGCATAAACGGCCTGCCATAGTACAAGTCCAACTTAAAGATGAAGTTGAGTTATGGTCATGCGATTGCATTGTGAAAGAAACGGTGTGGAATCGACCAAAAACGGTTGATCATCTAGCATATAAGAATTTGTGTGTATTGCAAGGTTCTGGAATCATCAAAATGATAAGAAATTTGGCCAAGTCTTGGTAAAGTTACAAACACTGTACACAGAAAGATGTATATGGGACTACACGACCACGTGGCGTAAAAAGCCTACCCCCGAGTTTTACGATGTTACACGACATATTTAGAATATGAAGGCATTTGAAGAGCCATGCTTTTTAGGGAACATGTCTTATCTGATGTTCTTCCACACTTGCATAATAGGAATGATAACGCTCACAAATTATTTTTCACCTCTTCCCAGAACTCAAACTTCTCTTTAAGTCGATCGTAGTCTTTGTGCAACATTTCCCAGCATACATAGAAACCAAAACTGAAAATGAACTCAAGAAATGATAATTAGAAATTCACATCTGTTTGTAAGTACTGTCCAAAGTAACACCTCATTGTGTCATATCTGAATTATTTGTGTGTTTTATTCATAGTCACTGACTCCTTAAGAAATGCTTGTTTATGAGTCAGCGCTATTAATAGATTGTTTATGTTCAAATTTTCCTAATCAGTCACAACTTCATTACTGTTTATCGTTTGAAGTCAGTTGTCAACATCATAAAGCATCAGTATACTCATCACTCATCTGTTTTGTATACATGAACATATTTGATGGACATACCCAATCCATTTTGTCCTCATAATCTGAAATCCTAGAATATTGTAATATGTATTAGTTGTATAAATGTGATATTTGATGTCGATTTATATTGGTCAATTATTCATATGTTAATGACCACATGTAGAGGTGTCGTGGTCAAGTGGATACGTCGCCGGACTGTCGATCACAAGGTTCGCAGTTCTAATCCCGCCGCAGCACTAATGTCCTTTGGCAAGACATTGATCTACATTTGCCACACTTCACCCAGGTGAAGTAAATGGGGACCGGTAGGAAGGAATTCCTTGAATGCTGTGAGCACCGACATCGGTAGCCTAGCAGAGCCGGGGTAATATTGGAGCGCTTTGAGCACCTTGCAGGGTGGATATGTGCGCTATATAAACATCCAATGTTATTATTATTAATTTATCTGATTTTATTCAACTTAGATTGTGCATGTATTCATATATTACTGACTATACATCTAAAATGTTAGTGTAAATGTATGTGATTATTACCCTACCAGAGTTTAGATCAGACAAAATATAAGTAAAATGTGACATTTGATGTCCATTTATGTTGTTTATTTGTTTAATTTACATTGTTCATTTCTACATCTAAATTCTTTGTTATTCTGATTATTGCATTATTGACGAACACTACCAGAGAGTAGGTCAGACAAAAAATATAAGTGAATGTGAGATGTCCATTGTTCACTTGTTCAGTATATTGTGTCAGAGATGTATTTCACACTTCACGGTTTATTTTAATTCATACCACATAGAAACAAAACTGAAAATGTACTCCTAGCATGAAAGCAATAATCACCATAGAAATACATATATTCTGTTTGTAATTAGTATCTGAAGTAACTTCCATGATGTCATATATATCTATTTAAGTTCTACATATCTTTCATTAATGGCAACTAACTTCTTGAGAAATAACAAAAAGTATATGTACAGTGTTACATTAATAGCAAATTTGAAACGATTTCTGTGAAGATCTATTGAAATACATGCAAGAAAATCTCTGTGGATGAATGATGACTAAAACCAAGCAAATAATTTTGTTAAAGGGAGAGAGATAAGAGTGACTACAAATCATTTGCAGGTTCATACATGAGTATTTTACGACGTTCTTTGAAATTGTGCACATATTCATTTCCATTTTCCAAAGCAAAAACAAAAAATATTATCACAAAATCCTTTTAGATCCCTTCTTGATACATTCATTGACTTCCTAATTCCTAGCAATCAAGTTGAATTAGTCTCCTTATCAAAAAAAATATGGGCATGTATCACATTTTTGTTCATAAAACACATTTTGAGTTGAATGGTGCAATGTTAAATCACTATCATTCTTATTATACAGTTAAACCTACTCTAGCGACCACCTGTATAGAAACATTACCTGTCTACAGAGACCACATTTTTTGTTTCCCTTGAAAAAGGTTTCTCATTGAAACATGTATTATAAAAGGAACCTGTACATAAAGAATACCTGCCTGCAAAGACCACTTTTCTTGTCTTGGGCGGTCTTTATAAACAGGTTTCAATGTAGTTGTATACAAATAATGCACATCAGTGAGGGCATTAGTAAGAATTACCCGCACTAGGTACCTTTGGAACAGTCTAACTCGTCCGAGGTGACAGCCAAGCGTGTTTGGACTGTTTTGAAGGTACCAAGTGTGGGTAATTTTACTAATGCCCTAACAAAATGATGTGTATTATTTGTTTTATAAGATTATGTTTCATTTGTTTTATATAATGATGTTTTATAACATGGTTTTAATAATGACCGGTCATTACCATTGGATAATGGCCGGTCATTATCCAAATTACGCGTTAGGCAAAACAAATGCCTGGTCACGTGTACGCTTTCAACCAATCATTTTATTAGGATCCACGTCATCATCTTATAATCATTGTTAACCTTGATTTTTTTTTTAAAGTTACTAAAATCTCTAATCATCATTATCATTTTCATCCTATTATCCTTACATGATTCTTCCCTCATCATTATTATTCATTTTGTTGATATTTTGTTGGCAGACTGTTATTCTCCGTAGCAGTCAGCCGCTGACAGGTACCAATACCAAACGGTGTAAGGATGATGAAAGATTATTGAATGCTGCCCTCAGTGTTGGTAAGAGGGGATACATCATCGACACAAGGTCAATGAATGGAGCTATGGCAGCGAGAACCAAAGGTATGTAAGATGGGAATTAAGGACGTAACACAGTAATGTTTGTGCGTACCTTAGCTGCACAAAGGGCTAGCTTGTTATATGTACATGTATTCACCGTGCACAGTGCCTAGAGTTCCTGGGGGGTGTTTCACAAAGATTCTAAGTCAAACTTAACTCTAAGCTGGACTTAAATATTATGGAGAGCCATTTGTAGCCTTGTAATGAAATATATTCAAAGGCAAAAATTCAAGTATTTTAGACTTTCCATAGATTCCACATCAAGAACATGAAATTTCCCATGATAATAGAAAATATGAATGATTTGAATCAACATTTTATGCCTTCTAAATAACTTTTACTAAATATTTCCAATGATGCTAACGGCTTTCCATAGAGATAAGTTCAACTTAGGATCTTTGTGAAACACCCCCGGCCCCCAGGTATTGTACATAGTAAATACATGATCATCTGGCCTTTTGCAGCTAAAGTGTGCATGAATATTAATGCAGAACATCCTAAAATCTAGTAGATTCCGCATTCTGTTCTTGTTTCTCTTTGTTTTCATTAAAATATTTCTTTTATCCTTTTGACCTTCTCTACTACCTTTTTCTGCTTCTTCTTCTCATTTCCCGGTTTTCTTTCTATATACTTGTTTAGTGTTTACCGGTACGTAAAACCTGTGGAAAAGTCTACATGTACGTATTCTCTTTTGCCTTTAGTAAACTTTGTATGTGAATATAGAATATGGGATTTATTCCTTGAATGTGCTGTACATTGATAACAGATGCTGGAGCTACATGTAAAGCCAGGAGAATAATTGCCCAAGCCATTTGGAAGCGCATGCAGCATCTAGTAATGTATTTCATTATCTGATATAGGCTATGCAAGAACGGATAACTATTCTTAATGTTTTTGTGTGTGAACAATTTAATTTTTTATGTTTTTCGTTTTCGTTCAGGTGGTGGTTTTGAGACGGAAGTCAACTACCCCCAGTGGAGGCGAGTCAACAAACCTCTTGATAAACCAAGCATCTTACAGGAATCTCTATGTAAACTACTAGAAGGTAAGAATTCTTTGGAATCTACATGGTATATGTAGAGTGATGTTCTCTTGAGCAGTTGTTCTGGGCTTTAGAGTGTAAAAGATGGAAAGTTAAAGATAAACTTGAGTTCTGGTAAAAAAAAGAAAAGGAATTCTCACAAAATCAAACAAAACTTACACTGAATGTTCAAGATTACAAATAAATGTCATGTGCCAAACAATTTTGGAAGAAAATGTATACTGGCTGAGTAATGAGCATAGAAAGATAAGGAAATCAAGGTGTGGTAGCCCCGACACCATCTGTGCAGTCCCATATACATCTTTCTGTGTACAGTGCTTGTTAATTTACCAAGACTGGGCCAAATTTATTATGATTTTGATGACTCCAGAACCTTGCAGTACACACCAATACTTACATGCTACATGATCCACTTTTTCTGATCCATTCCACACCTTTTCTTTCACAATGCAATCGCATTACCAGAACTCACCTTTATCTTTAAGGTTAATTTTTGTTTGTTTTGGGGTTTAGGTAATTAAGATGATGAATAATTTGATGATTTGTTTTACCCAACTGCTAAGAATTAGAAAGCATTGTATGCTTGTTAGTGAGCAACCAGGGGACTGACGGCTTTAAGTCATTTTCGAGGGACTTGTTAATGAGGAATATCAAATGGCACTAGTACATTGACTTGGTTTCAAACCCGGGACCTCCCGGTAATGAGAACTCTGCTTTACCACTGAGCCATCGAGTCTCCTTCAATTAAAGTACCAATAATAATTGTGTTTGTCAGTTCAATTCTCTTCCTGTTAGAAGATTATTTGATTAAAACTTGTAGTAGTAGTCTTAGTAATAGTAGTAGTGGTAGAAGTAGAAGAAGTAGTAGTAGTAGTAATAGTAGTAGGAGGAGTGGTAGTAGTAGAAGAAGAAGAAGTAGTGGTGGTGGTGGTGAGTGTAGAGGTGGTGGTAGTGGTACTAGTGGTAGTAGCATATGTTGTTGGATAATTGTGTAGCACAAGGCCTATCTGTCACAAGGCATCTTATGAAGATGGTTCAGCCGATTTCAGTAATAGGATCTACTACAGTGTTGTTGTATGAAATCTCTATGAACGTCTATAGCCTAATACATGTACGTTGTATTTTTCTTCTTCCTCCTAGCCTGCATGGATACTGGATGCTCAGCAGACAAGTGGATCAGTCGTCTAACAAACTGTGGCTGGTTACACCATGTGAAGGAGACTCTCACTACAGCATGCCTGGTGGCTCAGTGTGTCGATAGAGAAAGTGAGTATAATTAAAGTCATACTCTACTAGAAGCGCTATCGCAAAATCCCCTCTAGCGCCATCTCAGGTCAACTGTAGCAGTATGGTCCTGTAACTCGCTGCTTCTCTACCTGCGCTGTCAGTTCTTGTATCGATTCCTCTGTCTGTGTAGTGTAAATTGGGTATTGGGTTACACACTGTTGGTAAGTTGACCATGAGATGGCGCTGTGCAATAAACATTATCAGTGCCATTCATTAGGAGAGTTTGGCCAACTTGGTTTCACTGGGTCACAACATGGCGTATAATATTTAATTTTGTGCTTGCCCAACAAAGCAGTAGTCGCCATATTGTGTCCAACTCGAACCGGGTTGGCCAAACTCTCCTAATCAATGGCACTGCACAGCATGTACACTGTACATGTACTTCTCAACGTCCCATCAGAAACCATGCAGCAATGGTTATGGAGTGCACACAGTTACCAGGGATGCCAGTTTTCAGGCTTTGGTCTAATTTCAGGCTCTGTCCCCTGTTGTAGACCTCTTCAATCTTGTTACTGTACACAATATAAGGGGATCCTACATTCCTGGACATGTTCAGGCTATACAAGTAAAAACTAGTGTCCCTGATATATATTTTACCTTCTGTATGCCACACAAATCATCCGCATTGTACTTGTCATGGGATAGATATACTGAAGACTTCAAGATTAATAATTGTTTCCAAGAATAATTAGTACCAGTGATAAAAGGGTTGTTGTCATGGAGACTAAAAATTAGTAATTTTGCAAAGCTATTGTATTGCACAAAGTAATCCTTCCGTCATTTGATGTCTCCTGGGTTTTTGGGGTGCAAAAATTGCATGTGTGGCAAATGAACAACCATGCAGAGATAAGCAAAAGGCAACCAAAAACTAGGTTAATTAGCCCTTTAATATCGCTTGTCATTTCATCTGCCACAGATTCTGCCGTTCTTGTTCATGGTTCAGAGGGTCTGGATGCAAGCCTACAGGTGACCTCCTTGGCTCAGGTCATTCTAGATGCAGACTGCAGAACAGTGAGGGGGTAAGCATGCACACACACAAATGATAATCATGAATGAAGGTTAATAATAACAATGCGGGTGTGATGATGATTTTGATGATGATGACGTCGACGATGACGACCCCGACGACCACGACAACCATGACGACGAAGACGACGACGATGACGACGATGATGATGATGATGATAACAAAAACTATTGATGGTGATGTTGATCATGATTACGGTGGTGGTAATGCTAATGTTGAATTGTTGATAGTGAAGATGATGATGATTTTGTTGGTGATGATGTTGGGTGCTACTGACGATGAAGAAAATGATGATACTAATATAATTCTGATAATAAATTATTTCTTCTCTACATGTAGCTTTGAAGCCCTGATAGAGCGAGAATGGATCCAGGCTGGTCATCCTTTCCTCAGTAGATGCTCTAAATCAGTCTTCTCTCAGAACAAGAACAAATACGCTGGTCCAGTGTACCTTCTCTTCTTAGACTGTGTCTGGCAGGTAGACTATCGTTTCATTCATATTCAGGGTCTGTCTGAAAGATGGTCTTTATAATAATTGTATTGGATATTTGTATGACACTCATATTCACCATGCAAGGTGCTCAAGGGATTTCAGGTTTTTTGTGTGAATTTGATTATCTTGGCATCCAGATTTGTAAGTTGTTTTGATCAAAGACTCTTCCTCATTCAAATCTTAGACTTCCCATCCCCAAAACAGATGCTAATGTCCTGTTCATCATGTATGAGATAACAGTATCTCAGTATCTCAGTTTTTCTTTTTTTCCCCTTTTTTTTCAACAGATTTTCCAACAATTTCCCTGTTCTTTCGAGTTCAGTGAGAAATTCCTCATCATGCTGTTTGAGAATGCATACGCAAGCCGATTTGGTAAATATACATTCCTCCTGTGACTTTTCATGTGACAAACTGATACTCTGTGGGTACATGTAGTTGTGCTTTGTTAACTGATATTTTGGAATGACTGTAGATGCCTCTATTAGGTCTTGATGCAATAATAATAATGGTGGCTTCTTATATAGCGCACATGTCCGTCACATCGTGACGCTCCTTGCGCTGCCCCGATTATTACCCTGGCTTTAGCAAGTCGGCCATCACGGCGCTCAAGTATTTCAAGCATTTAATTCCTGCCAGGTACCCATTTACATAACCTGGGTTGAGTGTGGAAAATGTAGATCAATGTCTTGCCAAGGGACATTAGTGCTGTGGCGGGACTCGAACCCGGACCTTGTGATCGAAAGTCCGGTGACACGTCCACTCAATATCATTGTGGTCACAAGTTCTTTGTGATTATTATCAATGGGTATTATTATTGTTACCATTGTTATTTCTGTCCTCCTTGCAGGTACCTTTTTGTGCAATAATGAGAACGAGAGGAAGATGGCGAGGGTCTCTGAGAAAACTGTCTCTCTCTGGTAAGTTTTACTCTACATGTAATTCATTTAGCACCATGTATTTAGTTATTTTGACTCAGTGACATTTGTGTGTTTAGAGAAATCACCTGTCATGTGGCAAATTTGTTATGCTCTTTAAATTTACAAGTCAGAATGCAAGCTGTGAACAAAATGTACGCAATCGCATTATCTCCCCATACACAAGCGGAGTTTGGAAGTCAGTGTGATACGTGAAGTTATGTATAGCGAGTATTTCATCAGTCTAAGTCGAACTTAACTCTAAGTTGGACTCAAAAATTATGGAGAGCCATTTGTAGCCAGAAAATAAAATATATTGAAAAGCAAAAATTCAAACATTTTAGACTTTTCATAAATCCCACATCAAGAACATGAAATCTCCTTGTTTATAGAAAATATGAATGATTTGAATCAACATTTTATGCCTTTTAAAATAACTTTTACAACATATTCTTAAAGATGCTAACGGCTTTCCATAATTGTCAAGTCCAACTAAGAGATAAGCTCAATTTAGGATCTTTGTGGAACACCCCCCCCCCCCCGCAGGTTTATAATTGAAGAACAATTCATCTCATTCTCTTTTTTTCTTTCAGGACCTACGTCAATCGTCCTCAGATTCTGCAGACGTTCTTCAACCCGCTCTACCAGCCAAACCAGCAGGTCATCTGGCCATCGGTCGCCCCACAGAGCCTGGTAAGCTTTTAGACTCTCCTCCTAGCTATCGTTCTATCTATCTATCTATCTATCCACCCATCCATCTATATATCTGTCTATCTACATGTATCTATCTATCTAACCAGCAGGTCATCTGGCCATCGGTTGCCCCTCAGAGTCTGGTAAGCTTTGGGACTCTCCTCCTAGCTATCATTCTATCTATCTATCTATCTATATTTCTATCTGTATTTCTATCTGTATATCTCTCTATCTATCTATCTATCTATTTATCTATATATCTATCTATCTATCCATCCATCCATCCATCCATCCATCCATCCATCCATCCATCAATTCATCCATCTTTCTTTCTATCTATCTATATATCTATCTATCTTTCTATATATCTATCTATCTTTCTATATATCTATCTATCTTTCTATATATCTATCTATCTTTCTATATATCTAACTATCTTTCTATATATCTATCTACGGTATCTATCGTTCCATCTATATATTTAAATAATATTGGATGGCTTTGAGTGTGATACAAGAATATATTGCTCTAGCTATCACAATTTTGGACGAGTCAAAGACGAGTCTAATATTGTCTTAGTGAGAGCAATATATTATTGTGTCACATGAAAACAAAGCCATACAATATTATTATTATTATCTATATCAGGCTGACTAGCGAAATAAGAACATTTGACTTATCTCTGTAAATATGCTTTATTTTGTGCGATATCGGTATCAATAGTTGAAGTTTCTGGATGACTGAGCAATACGAAAACAATATTGGCCAGTCATCAGGGTACTGCGCTAAAGATATTGAATACACTAATTTATTGTACCACTTGGAAGCCTTATATAGATAATAAATAAATATATATCCGTCTATACTTATATCTATATATCTATTTACCTTTCTATCTATCTGTCTATCTATTGATCTACTGTTATCTATCTTTCTATCCATCTATCTTTTCATGTCACATTTCCATTTCCACAGTATTATCTAGTATATGTACATGACTGTATGTATCTATCTACACTCAGACATATATGTTCATGTAATTTGTGTACAAGCGTCCAATTTTATATATTGATTTGATGTGGTAGTAGTAATTGTAGGAGTTGTAGTAGTAGTAGTAAGTTATCATCATTATTATTGTATATATATATATTGATTTGATGTACTAGGCGTTATGGTCAAGCCTCTACATGAGATGGACGATGAGTGACACGGCGACTAGCATACCCACACAGGTCATCACAGACATCAAACAGAGCGACAAGGAACTGAGGTTAAAGGTCAACGAACTGAGAAGGTATGTACATGTAACAAAGAGGCTCATCTAGTTGGTAGTGTTGATTGTAAGCTGATTACACAATGACATTTATTTACCTTGCGAGACTTTCATTTACAAACAACTGTTAGACTTAAATGTCCTTTTCAGAGATTTGGGGCATAAAGGGGGCTGACAGGATTCCAAAAATTGTATTTCCAGAAATTATTGCTGCTACCTCCCCTCCTTGTTCTCTTTCTCTCTAGTAAAAATAATCCTGTGACTAAAGGCTCCATTTCTTCCAGTCATGTTCTGGGAAGGATTAGATACATGTATAAGAGATATTTTAGACCATTCTCGATATCCAATCGAGTTTAGTGATCATAGACAAGTTCTGCAGTTTCTGGTTAAGAATTTAAGCAAAGTTATAAGGGATATACCTGTACTATCTGCCCCTCTTTGTAATGTCTCTTTATTCTGTCCTACTCTCTGTCTCTGTCTCTGCCTCTCTCTGTTTGTCTCTCTCTCTGTCTGTCTCTATCTGTCTCTCTTACTCTCTGTCTCTCTCTGTCTCTCTCTCTCTATCTCTTTCTGTCTGTCTCTCTATCTCTCTCTCTCCAGGCAATTGGGTGACCTCCAGAAAGAAGCACTAGAGAAAGGACTGATCAGCGATTGATGGCAAGCGAAGTGTTACGATCGTATCTCTTGCTTTACATGCAGACATTAGTTGCACCCTCTCTATTGTGATGTCACAAAGAGTCGAGGCATCAATTTGAATCTGTGCTAATGGGCAAGGATGAAAGTCACCTTCATCTGAAGGTGCCAGTTGAAAAATGATGGACAAATTAGGTTTATGACTTATCCTATAGATGAAGGCACTGCTATAAAGAGCATTAGTTTGACGTACAAGTAGCTCACACTGTACATGTATACATGTACGAAAATACAATGTAGTCAACATTCTCTTCTAAATCTCAAGTTAGATTTGAGACTTGAGTTGCTTTTATGCCAAGAACAAATAGTAAAGTTGTTATGGTCAACATTATTGAATATGGTGATGGCTACTTACATGTAGATGTATGACAAAAGTAGTTTCTATGTAGCCATTTTTCCTCAGGTTATGCAGTACGCACCAGCCAAATACCAACTTTATTGCCGCAATTCCCACAAACATAGTCTTCAACTTGTTTCCTTCTCGAAAATTGCAATGACAATAGTCATACTAAAGTTTTTTGGTCTTGTCCTCATGATTTTTCTGTTATATTTATTAAAAGCTTCCAATTTCTTGTATCTGATTTATCACTGCATTATTTAGTGTGCTAGAAATCATACTTTTTCCATACTGTGTTGCTCTCATGTCGGTCATGTCTCTCTGTTGAACGTCATGTTAGAATTGATGTGTACTTTTAGAGTCTACATCATAAACACAGTAAGTGTAGTTTCAGGAATATAAAAGCTAGCTATACATGCCAAATGCATGCATTTTATGAAGTACGATTCTAGCTTCTTACATGTCAAGTGAATACACATGACACATGCACAGGTACTTGTAAAAAAAGGTAGTTATTTCACAGAATTGGTAGCACTTGGTAACACTGTTGGAAACTTTGGGGAAAATCATGTCTGAAATTATAATGAACTTGAATATTGTGCCCTAGCTTGGACCTTTTAGAGGCTGTTTAAAGGACAATAGTTTGTTCACCTTCCCCAAAACTTGTTTAGTTTGAGTATATGGAGGCCTTTAAAGTTTAAAGGTTTATTTATTTCCATTTTGATTCATTCCAAAGAGAGGAGGCTTAAAGGTTGTATTTTATAATGATTTTACCATATTTGACATATTCCTAATATCAAAGATGTGTATGGTGCAAAATGAGGTTTGGAATATCTCCTTTTTTTCCAAGGGCAATAATGAACCAAGACTATTCATAAGAAGAAAAGATTTAAAACAATTTAATATATAAAGTAAAGTGAAGAGTACTTCTTCATTTGTCTATCCTGGGGGGTGTTTCACAAAGATTCTAATTTGGACTTAACAACTATGGAAAGCCGTTAGCATCTATGAAAATATTTTGTAAAAGTTATTTTAAAAGGCATAAAATATTGTTTCAAGTAATTCATATTTTGTAAAAGTAAACATTTGTAAAAAGTCTAAAGCACTTGAATTTTTGCTTTTGAATAAATTAAATTAAAGGCTACGAAGGGCTCTCCATAATTTTTAAGTTCAACTTTAGATCTTTGTGAAACACCCCCCAAAAGGATCACAATTTTATTTCAGGTTGATGAAAACTAGTTAATAAGTTGGCATTTCATAACTTTGGAAGTTGGTGATTTTAACTTTGCGATTTCTTGAACACTTTTTGAGCAGTTTGGATTTGCAATTCTTTAAGAGATAGAGCCCAGATGTTTCCCTACTTAATAACAATCTTGCCACATTCCAATTTGTGTATGTTTAAAGTAAATTATAAATTTGAATCATTATAGTACATGTAGGTAATTATGTTACGTAAACTATGAATTTCAATTCAGTGCAGATTTATGAGATCATTTTTTTTCTATTCCACCTGGGGGGTGTTTCACAAAGATTCTTAGTTGAACTTATCTCTAAGTTGGACTTAAAAATTATGGAAAGCCATTAGCATCTTTGAAAATATTTTGTAAAAGTTATTTTGAAAGGCATAAAATGTTGATTCAAATCATTCATATTTTCTATCATCAAGGAGAGTTCATGTTCTGGATGTGGAATTTATAAAAAGTCTAAAATACTTGAATTTCTGCTTTTGAATATATTTCGTTTTAAGGCTCCATGCAATGGCTGTCCATAACTTTTAAGTCCAACTTAGTGTTAAGTTCTACTTAGGATCTTTGTGAAACACCCCCCAGGTTGCTACATGTATTTGTTGTGATGATTTTCTCTTTGTATGTCCTATATGTAGATCTAATATCCCCTAAAAATTTATGAAAACTGATGTGCAGATAAATAGACCATCTTTGTTGTTAGGTAGGAGAAGCCAAAATGTTTGTTTTGCCTCGCAACTATTAATGTATGTAATTGGCATTATGAATATTGAAATAATTTGTAATGAGGCACTTAAAAAAGAAGGTCGAGTTCTTGGGAGAGGTGACAAATAATTTATGAGCGTTTTCATCATTATTTCAATGTGAAACCATCTTCATGTTCTAAATATGACATGTAGGAGCTTTAAAATATGTACAGTGCTTGTCACTTTTACCAAGACTGTGCCAAAGTTTTCTGATCGATTCTACACCGCTTCTTTCACAATGCGATTGCTTGACCAAGTCAATTTAATTTGAATTAACAAAGTTGTATATGCATTAAATTTGATTACATTACGAAAATGGTCTATAAATAAGTAGGTGTTCTGTGCCGGTTTCCTTTATACAGAGGTAATGGTAGTGGCCAGTATAGACAGGTGGTCTTTCCATCAGGTTCAACTGCATTCAGCTATCCGCAACGTCTTGCATTTTCTTGTCTATTTTTTCTGGTGTCTGTGTATGTTTTTAACTCATGAATTTGTAGGTCGTAATCAATGTTGTAAATGATATTAAATGTATTGAGATATATTTTAGCAATTTTAATGTGCAAGAAAGTGCAAAAGTACTGATATATGTTATACTGTTTAACAATGATGTTTATTGTAAATAGAAAATGCAAATTTATGCTAAATGTATCTATTATTAAATATTAAGATGAACCAATTATTAATTGTCGTTCTGTCTACACCGTTTGTTATTATCTATACATTTAAAATTAATTCCTCACTCCTTTTCCTGTCTCAGTAGTCCCCTTTCGGCATTCACCTTTCTCTCTGTCTGCTCTTCTCTATCACTCTGTGTGTGTCTCTCTCTGCCCCTCTCTATCGCCGTCTGTCTCTATCTGCCCCTCTCTCTCTATCTCTATCACCGTCTCTCCCTCTCTCTGACTCTGTCTTTTTCTGGTAATCTTCAAAGGGCTATAGAGCCGTTCATGAGAGTTCCCCCTCTCTCTTTCTTTTCCATGTACAGTGTAACTGTCATTTTTCGTCATCAAAACATGTAAAATCTGGAATCAAACTTATACAGCATGCATTAACCATACACTGACAGAAGACATGGAGAGGCAAGAGAGAACAAGAAAGATGAGAGAGGGAGAGAGTGGAAGTGGGATAGACAGAGAATGAGAAAGAGAGACAGCGATAGATTCAATGTAGAGGGGCAGAGAGAGAAAGAGATACAATTATAGAGATAGAGAGGGGCAGAGAGAGACGGACAGACAGAGAAACGGAAAGAGAAAGAGATACACAGACAGACAGAGAAACAGAGAGAGAAAAGAGATACGATGATAGAGATAGACAGAGAAACGGAGAGAGAAAGAGATACGATAGAGAGAGAGACAGACAGAGAAACGGAGAGAGAAAGAGATACAATGATAGAGATAGAGAGGGGCAGAGACAGTTAGAGAAAAGGAAAGAGAAAGAGATACGATAGAGATAGAGATAGAGAGGGGCAGAGAGAGACAGACAGACAGAGGAACGGAGAGAGAAAAGAGATACAATAGAGATAGAGGGGGGCAGAGAGAGACGAGAAACGGAGAGAGAAAAGAGATACGATGATAGAGATACAGACAGACAGAAAAAGACAAAGAGATGGAGAGATAACGAGAGAGAATGAAGATGATATACTTCGGACGAAAAACAGTTAAAAGGCATATGTAAGAAGCACATAATGAATGGTGACATAAACGCAAGAACTGATTGCTTGGGTTTTTTCTATTTTTATGAATTTACTGGCAAAATTGTTCACATTTATGACACGAGATTTCACATTGCATTAAAAAACTGATGATTTCCATTTTAACAAATATTCAGAGTAGAAATACAATTATAAAGTTACAAACCTATTTAAATACATGTAGTCAACATACCACCAAAGATCACATAATCAAAAGTGACAATTCAACGGAAATAGGTCCACAATAACTTACAGGAATAACCAAAGAGATAAACAATTAAATTATACCTAAGACAGAAATACAGACTAGATACAGAAGCGCTACTTGGACAAAAAAATTGGGCTGCACACACCTGTGAGTTAGAAATATACAATGTGTTTAATGGGCATTGAGTGATTAAAACGTCTGGTATGATAGCCGGTAAGTGTTTGAATATTAAAAAAAAGAAGAGAATTGCCAACTTTGACCTCCGTCTTTATAGTGGATTTTCATACTCGGTTATTCATTACCAATCAGAATAAATAAAGCTAATTTGATAAACGAATAAGCAGCAAAATGAACATTAAATCAAACAGACCAGGGCCTATATTCATACAACCTTACGAAGCTACTGTACATGTAGTTTTCAACAGATTACAGACATGTAGATTTTAGTACAGAAATAGTTGACAACTACAGCTTCATTATAGGCTTGATAAGGTTAAATGATTATGGGATTATTTTCAAATATTTTGAGATTTCATTCATACAACTAGAACTACAGTTTCTCTTGGCAACCCAAGACATTGCCAGAAGACTACCTGAGGATAACTTGGTATAGCAACAACCAATGTATTTAAGATAGATACATGAAGATGAACACTATCCATACAAATGCTATCACACATAACAGATGAATAGATGGTTCTTTCAAGTTATCATGGGAAAAACCTTTAACAATAACTTAGAAGATAGAGGTGAAATGTAAATTTTATAAAGTAAGATCCATAAATATGAATCTGTGAATAAAGGGCATATTTTCACAAAACCACCATAAGTACAAGTTCACCGACAACCCAATGAAACGTGACAACCCAATTTAACATGCTTTTCAATCGGATACCTTTGAACTTGTACTTATGATGGTTTCGTGAAAGGGTGCCAAGGCTGATTAAATCCATTTATGAATCACTAACATTTGAAATTACAGAAATAAAGTGCAAACATAACAATAAATCTTGACGTCCTCGAGCACCTTCGATGTAATACCAACTTTCTTTTGATGTCCTCAGCAGGCCGCTGATGGGCAGGGATTTTGACCAATCACATATGAGTTCAATGAGAGTTCAAAGGTCACAATCAGCCATGTTGATTTTCTTCAGCCCGGTGTAAGACTTGACCTCGATGTGAGAAACAGTAGAATGATGGTCTGTTGCATAGAGTATCCATTGATCTGTACACAGGAAATGGTGAAATAATACAGAAGCATCATGAGTGAGTTATAGGAACAAGACTGAGGCCAGATCGCAAGTACGCTAAAAAAAGAGTCTTCATATGATCATAATGAATGGCCAAAAATGTTTGGTTTGGAATAGGTTTGGAGCTGCATTGGCAATGTGAAAGCACAAAACAGCTCAGAAAGAAAAAAAGGATTACAATTGTCAAAAATCTACAGAATTTATACTTTTTAAAAATTCCTTATAATAATAAAATATAATATTATCTAAAGGTCATAATGGTGAGAGCAAACAGTGGCATGAACGAGCTGCCATATTTAAGTCCAACTTAAATTTGATCTTAGTCTTTGTGAAACACTCCCAGGTTGTGTCAGATGTCATACGCTCTTGATGCTGCTCTGCCCAAAAGACTACAATGTATTCACAACTTTGAGGATAATAACAGAGCATCACCAATAGAGAAAACAATACAGAGCAATTAGAACCAAAAAAAAAGCAATCATGAGAATGAGGGGGGTGAACAAAAAAGAGCAAATAGCCCTATACAGTCATACAAGGGAAACACAAAAAGTGGTCTTTGTAGACAGGTGGTCTTTGTAGACAGGTTCCTTTGGTACATGTTTCAATGAGAAACCATTTTCAAGGGAAACAAAAAATGTGGTATTTGTAGACAGGTCGTCACTAAAGCAGGTTTGACTGTAGTACATTGACCCCAAAATTAACACTACATACATGTGTACATTATTATAACAAACAAACAGACAAACATATAAATATAGGAAACAAACATGCACTATACTATTTCACATTATGAATACAAACTTACATGTATATTAGATAGCTTAGACAGATACCGAGATGTGATTGGTCCAGAGCTCGTCACGTGATATCAATTGTGAGGATCCAAATTGTTATATTTTCCTGGCCGGTCACTTTTCGGTGTTATATTAACCAGCTGGTGAAATGAATATATTTTTCATCAATGCATGTCGCCCTCTTGAGGACTGTCTGTCACCAATTACACACATTACACCACTATTTCACATTATGAATACAAACGTATATTACTTACCTAGCTTCTAACTCCACTGTTGCTCGTATTTCTCTGAACTTCCCTGCAACGTTTATCACTCCGTAGCATGTCAGTAGCAGACTAATTATGCACTGAACAAAGATCTGCCATTGAATAGGAAAAGATAAATTGAGTTTTATGAGAAATATATTGGTACATCGATTATTGAACGTTTATCACACCAGCCTTTTCAAACTTTTTTCAGTTACTGCACCCTTTTTAGAAGATTTCTTTTTTGTGTCACCCTGATCCCAAAATCATCACAGAATTATTGTGCATCACTCTGGAACTTGCCAAATGCACAACGTTATTTGTTTCTCATTTTTAAGAGCGAGCAATAAAAATTGATGTCTTTAGTATGTTTTAAAAACATTTTGTAATCAACACACTAGATAAGATATGAAATAAAGGAGGTGGGTGTCCCACTGCCAAATGTACAGGTACATGAATATGAGGATATGAGGGCATCTTGTTGCCCAAAATTATCGTTTCTAAATGTTTCGAGCGAGCAAACCAAGCAAACCTAGTAAAAATGTCATTTCGATATCGAAGATATGAAATATATAGGGGCACCTCGCTGTCAAATAGAATCGATATTCGGGCACTTCTTTGTCAAAATGTCAAGGTATTCTTTCACAATGCTGCCTGAAATCCTACTGTTTGAACTAAAAAATGCAACCCTGAAATACAAACTCATGAACTTTCTCTTCCTATTTGCGTGAATTTTTGTATTTTCAATTATCATAAAATACTTACATCTGTTGGTAATCTTGTGAACTCTTGCTCTGTTAATCTTAGGTACGATCGATCTGAGAAAGTTAGAGGAAACAAAATCACAAAAATTAATTTGAAGATCCTACTGACATAAATTATGTGTACGTACCTCAATCATGAATGCATGCACAGTAATTTCCAATGCTTCAAGTCATCTAAAACTCTGAAGAATAGTTACTTCTCATTTAGCTTCTTTACAAATTATTCTTCTGCTTTTTTTTTCCCTTGATTTCAAAGTACTGTACATGATGACGACGACGACGATGACGTCGACGACGAAAATGATGATGATGATGACGATGATGAAGATGATGATAATGATGACGATGATGATGATGATGATGATGATGAAGATGATGATGATGATGATGATGATGATGATGATGATGATGATGATTATGATGATGATGATGATGAAGATAATATTAATAATTGGGAGAAAATTTCATGCACAAGGTTTTGATTTTCTCAAAGAACAGGAGAAAAAAGGAATAGGGTAAAAGAATTTTGTCTTTGTATTCTCTTTGTTATTCTCCTCCTCCCTCTTCTTCTTCTTCCTTTCTTCTTCTCTTTCATATTATTCTTCTTAAATCTTTGTCTTCTCCCTTTTAGTTTTATTCTTCTTTTCTTTCAGACTGTTCTTCCTTTTCTTCTTTCTTTTTCAGCTTTCAGAGTAATGGCCTGGAACTTACATTTCACAGAAATTCAGCTCATTGACAGACAATGGCCCAGTGCAACACCAATAAAATAGCAACACTTTGTCAAAGACAAAACACCTGCATGAACACAGTCAAAGTCAAAGATAAATAAATTCCTTGACCCTGCATTTACCCCTGGCAATTAGAGTACTGCCTTTGCATTGTGAAGGTCAATGCCGACAAATATCAGTTTCCTAACATAATTCCCTATTCAATACGGTTATTTCTGCCTAAAGCTAACTTGGGTCTGCATTGTGAGCGCGATGAGCTATGACTGAGCATGATGAGCTGAGAACAGCTACATTTAGCTGCAGCAGCTAGAGCTTACATACGCCGGGAGCAGCGGGGGAGCAAATACTGAGACTGACCCTCCCACTGTCACCCAGCAGTCGTCTAGTCGCATCAGACACACTCAAATACACATTACTGTTGAAAATTAACAATATTATAAGCATTTAGGCCTATACAGAGTATTGAATTCCATATATGTCTATAATTCTTCTTACGTTGTGCTGCTGAATAAGCTGAATGAGCAAGTCCGATGATTCCAAATAACACGCACAAATGACTGGAACCCGCCATGTTTGCGGACAATAGATGAACGGAAGTGAAATTACTGGAAGGGAGTACATTCGCATTAGTAACTTAACTACTGGTAAAGAAAAAAAGAAACACTCGTGTGCTACTCGCAGCTGCCGTCCGTTACAATTAGACGGACCAAGCGTTGAATTTAGTTTCAGTTACAAATCTTTTGAAGAAACCAAACTCATGATCTTCTTCTTCTCCTTCTTGACTTATGCCGTCCACGCCGGTGTGACCGCGCCGTTTGTCCGATCCTACCAGTTTCGTTTGTCCGTCGGACATAATATGCGGGTTTTCTGCTCGCACGGATCGTCCGTGACTCGCACGGATCGTCGGATCCGAGGGACGACCCGTGCGGTTTGCTATCCGCACATTTTGTCCCCCCATTGTTTTACGTGTATATTTGATAAAAGGAAGCAACTCGGCAAATCAATGTATTTAGACTCATTGTAAATCATGTGGTTGACATTTTTTCTAGAGATTACATAATAATAACTCTACAATTTTTTTTAAGCAAATGGGCCAGTCCTTTTGAAAGTAGAAGTGAATATTTTCTTTAAAACCTTTATTTTATGAAGGCATACTCGTAATATCGGCCCCCAAAACTGTTGTAATCGATTATACTTTTGTACGTGGCTTCGTACATCAACCAACTCACTACTAGTATATACTCGTGATACAGGCACCGCTCCAAGTATTTGGGGGCGTTTCGAGGTTTAATGAAGGAGTTAAATGTGAAATAAAAGTGATTAAAAATGGGGTTATAAGTGAGTGGGGGAGGCTAGAGTATTTAAGATAAGGTAGAGCGTAGCACAAATTGGCGGATGCTCAGGGGGTAGGGGCATTTAATTACGGTCAGATGAGCATATTTTAATACCTTATTCATGACACTGGCAGGTCACTAATTGGCGTATGGTCCAAGGGGCGGAGTCCCCGGAAGCGCAGGGGTTTTAGGCATTAAAATTAAGGTCAGATTAGCATCCAGGGGCCAGGCTTAGGTCCCAAGGTGGGGTCCAGGGGGCAGAGCCCCGGAAGCGCAGGGGTATTGGCATTTAATTACGGTCACATGAGCATACTTTCTTTTCTATTTCTTTCTACTTAATTCTCTTTAATATACTTTTTCAAAAGTGTGTGTGGGGGGGGGGGGGGCTTGAGCCCTCAAGCCCGCCGTTGTAGGCCTCTAAATAGTAAATAAGCACATTTCTTGCCTGACTGTAAATTTTGATATTTGTCATTCTCCCACAAACGCATAAAGGGTATAATTTACTAAAAAGTGTGGAAAAATCCCGGAAAATTAGGCCGTTTCAGCAGCATCTGTCAATCACTGGTATCAAATGAGAACAAAAAATTCACTTTTAAAGTTTATTTTGGTGGGGGGGGGGGGGGGGGGTAGCAACTGGCTGATTACTTAGAGCTATGGTGTCGAGGGCTCTTTCTTTATTTTTGTTCGGTAATAAATAAGGTTAGTTTATGTGGGTGTCACTCAGTCGCGGACATACGGGGGGCGACGGACCCGTCCCCCCCCCCCCCCCCCCTCTTTGAAAAAAAAAGAAAGGAAAGGGAAGAAAAAGAAAGGAAAGGAAGAAGGGCTAAAAACACGAGTTAGAAGTAGACCAATCAAGGCGCTCACTTATCCGTATCAGGGGAAAAATACACGGGGGCTCGGGGTGAATCAGCCCCCGAAATACCAAAAGAGCCCCAGAAAGTCATAAAAGTAGCCCCCGAAGTATTTTGTTCCCTGATCCGTATATAGGACAAGGCCCTGGGGCAGCTAGCCATACTCCGATATTTGGGTCGTTTTCCGATCAGAACTAGCCCTAACTATCATTCCAGGATTTTGTTTCAGAACCTGAGACAAAGTCACCCAATCCCTTTAAGTTTCAAAAAGTATATTGGGGGGCTCAGATATCATTGAGCCCCCCCCCCCCCCCCCAAAAAAAAAAAAAAAATATATTTCGGCCGGCTCGGTTATCATGAGCCCCCCCCCCCCCCCCCCCCCCTGCCCAATATTTTGTTCGTGCTGATGAGTTGAGGGAAGTGTATGCCGGAGATATTGGCTTTGTAGCATTAACTCGGCAGCTAACAAACCTCCAAGACGTGTATGACGATGAGAGGAAACCTATCAAATACATTAAAACAATCTGTGAGATTTTCAACAACAGTCCAATCTATAAGAGATCATTCTCAGAGGTACACATTCTTCTTCTCATTTACCTTACCATCCCGGTTACAACGGCAACTTGCGAGAGAACATTCTCTGTCTTGAAAGGGATCAAAACTTATCTGATATTATAAGTACAATGACCCAAAGAAAGCTCAACCAAAGCTTAATATTGCTCATATATAAATCTCGTACAGATAAACTGGACTTGAAAAATATTGCCCAAAACTTTGTTTCCAGGAACACAAGAAGACAAAACTTCTTTGGCACATTTGTCTGAGGCTGCATGTGCACCTCAAAAGAAGAAAAGTCTGAAATTTTTCGCCGCGATGACATAGACGAGGAACAAGAATTTATTTCCAGGTGCAAATTAAAGACAAAGGAGGATCTCAGAATTATATTTTTTGGGTGGTGCCACATTTCAGTTTTTAAATATGTCCGTTTATATAGGCATTACAATAAAAGTTTTGTTTTTCACGTTCCTGGGGTATTATTTTTTCCAAAGGTGTTAAATATGTGTTATTTTAACACCTAGTACTTTGTCTTACTTAATAAAAATAAACTGAATGTCTTACAATTTAACGATTTCTTCAAGTAGGCCTACTTTTATTAATTTCTTCAACTGCTTAAAATTAAGGCTACAAATGCTTTGTTACTGTAGAGCTGTAGTGTGAACAGGAATAGTAATTCACATTTATAGATTGGTGCACATCATTATGCTTGATCATCCTCTTCTATCTGTTTGTTGTCATTCCTCTGTTAGTCATCCTTTATTTGCTACCTATGATATTTGAATATTCATTATTTCTTTTTATTATATAAATGAACATGTAAATACCTATATATGCAAAATAAACCCTGGAGGTTTAAAGTTGTAAAGCCCAGGGCAGTTCAACACACGCAATCATGAAATAAGGGTGTCTTTATCGAAGTGTCTCTGTAAGTTTAGAACCACGCCCTGTGCCTACCCGCTCAGGCCACCCTACATTCAGGGGCGTCGCTAGGGGGGGGGGGGGGGTGTGAGGTTGAAGCCGGTAGGATTTTTTTTATGTCGGTCGGCCAGCAATTTTTTCCCCTTCGAACTGTGACTTTTTATCGGACAAAGAAACATTTTTGAAATTCAGACAATGATTTAGAGTCGGTACAATGAATCGTCTTCTTTTTATAATAATTTAATGAAACGTCGAAGCTCCCGCGCTTCGCGCGAGAGGGGGAAAACTGAATTCAGACAATTAGGGTTAAGAGTAGAGAACGGTACAACAAATCGTCTTCTTTTCCTAATAATTTAAACGTCTAAGCTACCGCGCTTCTCGCGGGAGGCCTTTCACCCACCCCCTACCCCACCTATATCGGGAGCGCTTTGCGTGCTCTTTAAGTGATTCGCTTGCTCAATACCGCCCCTCCCTTAAATAAGATCCTACCTACGCGCCTGTATTAAAATATATAGCTATGATGCTTACTATGTTGACGAATATATTTATATTTATGTATTTATTTATTTATTATTATATTTATGTCGTCGACGAAAATGACCATTTGCGCATAACAATTTAGCCTTTGGCCTCGGGTTTATAGGTTACATTTGTAGATATTGGGACATTTAATTTGGTCGTTTTGTCGGTAATCGTTGGCCTCTATACCCCCCCCCCCCCCCCCCCCCCCCCCAGGCGCGGATCCACGGGCCTAATTCTTCCGGCCCGGCTATGGCAAGCCCTTTGTGTAAAAACTAGATAAACTCTGTTTTTCTCAGATAAACTCTGTTTTTCTCAGATAAACACTGTTTTTCTCAGAAAAACTCAGTTTATCAACAGATAAACACAGTTTATCAGAAAAACTCAGTTTATCAGTTGATAAACCCAGTTTATCATAAAAAACTCAGTTTATCAACAGATAAACAGAGTTTATCAGATAAACAGAGTTTATCAGTTGATAAACTCAGTTTATCAGAACAACTCAGTTCATCAGTTGATAAACTGAGTTTATCATTGATAAACACAGTTTTTCTGATAAACTGAGTTTATCTAGTTTTTACACAAAGGGGTTGCCATAGCCGGGCCGGAAGAATTAGGCCCGTGGATCCGCGCCTGCCCCCCCCCCCCCCCCCCCCCCCCACTGAAAAAGGTCTAGCGACGCCCCTGACGACACATCAGGCCTATACTTGCATTTTGTGAGAGGCTCAAGTATCCGGGCCAGCTATTTATAGTTGAGTAATTTTTGAAGAAAAACAAAACGAGTACTCGCTCTCCAATCGTATTGGTTATTTAGGAATTTCGAATGTCATCAAATATGTTTTTTTCTTCCTTTTAACACAATGATTGTTTTGCGACTCAATTCAGGCCTGACTAAATATAATTTTTTCGTAAGGCAACAGACAAGTAATTTAGTCATATACCTGATTAACATTTGAAGATTTCCTACACTAATGCCTGGCCGTGCGTAACCCATATTTGAACATATAAGTTGCACCTGAAATTGCAACATGTGCATTATAAGCTCAAAATGCTTTCTTTCATACAAATACACCCAAAAAAATCCCAAAAGCTTGAATGCATACTATTTCACAAGATGTAATTAAAAAATATGAATGATATTAATGATACACTACATGTACATGCAAATGCATGATCATTTTTGCGCTTCTTGCTCCCAGCAAGATAGTTTCCTTCTACATTTAAGTTTGTTGCTGTTGTGAGTTTATATTCATATTTTTGTTATCAAACAGGAATAAATAAATGAATATATAAATACATTTGTACAATGATAGTTGTACAACGATGATAGAAGAACCAATGAAAATCGCAACTGATCTTCCTTAATTCCTTTTCTTTTCTTCCTCTTTGTTTTCTGTCCCTTTCTCTCCTCTTTCCCTTTCACTTCCCTTCTCCGTCTCTCTCTCTCTCTCTCTCTCTCTCTCTCTCTCTCTCTCTCTCTCTCTTTGCTGAGGGGGGGGGGGGGGGGTAGGGGTACAAATCGGGACAAATTGCAACTGATCTCCCCTACCTTTCTTCTTCCTCTTCTTCCCCCTTTCCCCTTTTTGGTCGGGGAGGGGGGGGGGGGGGGGGGGGGGGAGGCAA